TTTGTCTCAAATACAGTACATTTATCCACTAAATTGAAGTCGGAAGGTATTTTGAAGTAGGAAGAAAAACAGAAAATATTAAGAAATTGGTAAAGGCACTAAAATCTTTCAAAAAATTATTATAATGGTAAGAAATGTTTCGGTCCATTAAGCTGAGTGACCTGAACAAGCAGGCGCCTAAATTATGCCACAGAAGTTATTGCAGAGATAATTCACTAACCTCATTGTTCACACTAGGTATGTCGAAGTAAAAGACGGTCGATGGCGCATTCACGGTTACTTGCTGCATCAGATCACCATGTTTGTATAGGCCAATTTTATACTGCAAAGGTGGCTCCATGCCAGCAAATACCACTTCGCCAGCCACATCCACTTGTTCGTTAATGTGTGTGAGCACAAAATCCGTCCCCCGCACATCATCTGTATTCACCTATAACTACTGTTCGATAATGAACTGCTAGCCGACTGGGTAGCAAGAAAGCTATTGAATCAATGGAAAACCAAACCTTTCATTGAGCCCTTAATTTTCAACATTTGTCAAAGGTTAGGTGGTTGCCCTCAGCTGAGGTGTCTCGAAATTTTTCACCATTTCAACACTGTAACGGTGCTTGTTTACCTCTTTCCGTTGTTTACTTGTTTGTTTGTTTACCCCTTTTCGTTGTTTACTTGTTTGTTTGTTTACCTCCTTCCGCTGTTTACCTGTTTGTTTGCTTGCCTCTTTCTGCTGTTTACTTGTTTGTTTGTTTACCTCTTTCCGTTGTTTACCTGTTTGTTTGTTTGCCTCTTTCCGCTGTTTACTTGTTTGCTTGTTTACATCTTTCCGTTGTTTACTTGTTTGTTTGTCTACCCAACGACTGTGTACAACCCTAATCGGATGTTGGACATACAGCCACTCCTAGCTTCCAACTATCCTTATTTCAGCAATCGCCATGTAAGTGCCATTCATTGCAAGTGTGATTCTGGCCCTCTTACTTCTAGCAAACACCAGTTGAGCTGATTATTCTTAGTTTTTTCGAAACTGTCCAAGCTCCACTAACTGCCAAATAAGGGGTATGCGGTCACGCCTGCTATCTTTTAGTCCAGTGTTCTTGCTTGTTTTTGCAAAATAAAGTAAAAAAGAAATTGATTTTTTCAAAGTCGATTCATGAAACGAAAAGTATATCAGAAAGGTATCCGTAAGGTAACCTAGAACTGATTAAAAAAGCAATTAAGCCAATTGTAGCGTCCAGGTTGATCTTGGGTGTCAAAGTGAGGAAGGTGTATAAAGATAGAAAACAGGAG